ACTGCTGCTGTTTAATTATCCCTCTTTCTATTGAAAAGGAACCTTGGCAGTAGTTGTTCAGAAACATACTTGAAATTTTTATATTAAGTTGGGTACAATTTAATTGGACAAAATAAAGTATTATATATGTTCAATAAATAGTTTAAAAATTACGTGCCTGAAGAATGGAAAGTGGTTGTTGTTGGTAGAGATCTTTTAGAAAGCTTGAAGAGTCATCTCTTCCACTGCTGTATCAGAATCTTTGGGAAGGTCTGCTTGGGAATCTCCATTTTAAGAAGCTCCTTAGGAGATTTTTATGCACACTGAAGTTTTAGACCCACTGCTGAATTCACTACTGACAGCTTTAGGATATCGGCTTCTGCTCTTCTGATGGAAGCTACTCTTCCCCAGTTGGGGGAAGAACAGGGGTGAGCTGAGGCAGCTCTTCCTGATGCCCTGCCGGGCTCTGTGCTGGGAAATTTCCAAAGCTATCAGTGTTTTGAGTCCTCTTTCAACTGGCACTCCTGTGGTGAAGGAACATGTCATGTTAATGGTGATGCCCAACCCAGAGCCTTCATGTGTTTCCTAAAACATTAATACTTCCTAGCAGGGGAGGAAATTGCAGGTGAGGAAACATAAGAGAGTTTAAGTGGTCTTCTGGAGCCAGGACTGGAACTGAGGTTGATTTGATTTTAATGCCCAGACTCTTTTCTTTCTGTCTTTTTTTTTTTTGCTGCGCCGAGCAGTTTGTGGGCTCTTAGTTCCCCAACGGGGATTCAACCTGGGCCCTGGCAGTAAAAGTACCATGTCCTAACCACTGAACCGCCAGGTAATTCACTACTTTTTTTTTTTTTTTTAAGCCCAGACTCTTTTTGATTTACAATATTATATAAACTTCAGGTGTACAGCGTACTGATTCACACTTTTCATAAAGCCCAGAGTCTTACACTATCCTTGCTACCCTCCTTTTACTGGAAAGAACAATGGGTTGTCGGTTAAGGTAGCCTTGGGTTGGAAGGATGCCTCTATCATTTACTGGCTTCACTAGCGACTTTACATATCCCCAAATTCAGTGTCCTCATCTGAAAAGCAGGCATGAAGATTGTAAAATTCTAAGGTTATTGTGAGGATTAATCTACCACATTTTTAGAGTGCTTCAGCATATTTTTATAGTTCTGTCCCAGAGTAGGCATTCTAATAAATGATGACTATTATTCCACAACTTAAGGTAAGGTGAGTGTGCCTTATGGAATGAACCAATTTTAGGCTAAATGAGTTTGTCAGATTATGAAATGTATGTTTTCCTATTCTGATGTGGTGTGATAACTAGAAACAAGGAAGGTGCTGGATGTGTGAAGGGGTCTTCTTGTGGGAAAACAGTGTAGACCTCTATTTTTTATCTAGTACCCATATCCTGGTAAATTCTAAATTTGATTCTAGCCCAGACCCTTCCTATAGCTCCAGACTCTAGTAGTAGCTCCAGATGTTTCTGTTGAAATGCCCACAGGATGTTTCCATCAGTTAACCCCTTAACATGTCCAAGTCTAAACTTGGGCTCTTCCTTCCAACACCTGCACCCTTCTGTTAGGGTTCCCTACATCAATGAATGGAATTGCTCTCCATCTGCATCCTCCACAAAATCTAATCTTTCATCAAAGTCTGCTGATTGTTATCCCCTGTGTCTCTGCCTTCTCATCTTTGTCTTCCCCACCATTACCTTAGTCTACGCTACTGTCACCTCACACTCAACTCCTCCCCTGCATTTCTCTTGCCCCCTCCATGATTCTGCCACATTGGATATTTTTTCAACATACAATTGGTTGTCATACCTTATTTAAAACCCTTCAGGAATTTTGCCTTATTCACTTACTCCGCCTTTTTTGTTTCACGTACATTCCCTCTTTAGCTGTGGCTGGCCTCTTTGCTTCTCTTTCCTGACTTTGAATGTGCTTCTCTCATAAGTGCTTTTAGACCTTAGCACTTGATGTGCCCAGATTTGAACACTTCCCATACCTTTCAGATCTCATGTCAGTCTTACTTTAGGTCTTTGCTGCTCTCTGGGATACATCAAGTCTCCTGTTATAAAATCTCATGGTGGGGAATTTCCCATATTTTTAGTAGCGTTTATCTCTGTTTGCAATTATGTATTTGCATGGTTGTTGGATACTATTTGGTTCTCCAAATAAAATGTAAGTTCTGTGAGACAATTTCAGCATCTACAAAGGCCTAGAACAGCCCTGACAGCAGTTGAGAAATATTAAATGACTGACTGAACTACATAACTAGGCAATTAAAAGACAATCTTTTAGAACTAAAAGATTAGTTCTAAAGTGAGGTAAGTATACATGAAGTCACAGTGTTGGCAGGTTAAGCATTGTTACTTGGGAATACGTTTGTTATTGTAACATTGGTTTCATGAGCCTCTAATTTTACTTAAAGACTGGTAGTGTTTTGAATTTTGAATTTCTGAGTACAGATTAAGAGCTTCCAGAAGTTGATTGTACTTTAATGACTTTTAGAGTCAAAACTTTCCCCTTTCCTCACACCTGGACAGTATTTGAAGTTCACAATTTAAAAAAGATATAGTTGGTTGTGTACTTCTTGATGTTTACTATATAGAATGTATTTATTTATGTTATTTGCCTAAGGCATAAAATTTTTAAAATGCTACCAAAACCTACGAAGTCAAGAAATCATAGATGTTATAAAAGGTTTTTTCAGCTCTTATACAAGTTAGAAAAAATGAAGAAGATTAATATGATATTGGAATTGTGCTTTTATGTTACTTTTTGGTATTTGGACCTTAATTTACTGTATGATTATCGTTAGCAAATTGAAATGTTCTTGTGAAAACTCTTAAGGCTGTAGTATTTTCTTGAAAATTGGTTTAGTACTGTTGTTTACATTGTAAAATTAGTGCTTTCAATAAGATTTTGGTTTCCATCTATCCTGAATTCTCCTTAGGAGTGCACAACTTCAAAAATAAAGAGGCACAGTCAGCAGAAAAAAGAGGTGGTCTGAGCATTTATGCGTTAAGTATGCATGTTAATTAGGAAAAAAATTAGAAAAAATATGAAAACAGATGTTACATAAATTATTGCAGTCCCAGGGCAGCAGTAACTTATACACTGACAGTAATTTTTATATGTGCATGTGTATGTCTATTTCTAGATTTCTCAATGTTTATGCAATTCCGTAGAGAATAACTAGAAGAATGGTATATCCTTTCAGTGAGACAGCGGTAAACATTCCTTCTGCATGTGGCTTGCTGAGCGAGTCTAGGCATAACATACACTTTTCCTGTACAGATAGCCTTCCGTGTTTCCTAATTCTTCCTGTAGTCTTCTTCCTTCCTTCTTGGTTTCTTTGATAGTATGTCAATGAGATCTTTTATTGGATTATGTCCTGTCAAAACAATAAAATGAATCATGATCCCAGCAGTGTAAGAAATGTAAAATTGACTGGGATGTAAAGTATGTGTTTAGAAACAAAGCAAATCACAACTACTGAGGACGCTGATTGTAGTGTCACTTTTTCTTTGGTTACTGTTGTACTTTCTGAAGAAATAGCCATCATTCTCTGAACAGTATTGACACAGTAGCGTGACAATCTATACTAAGTGTTACATAAACACACATTTATCAAATATACATATATTGGAATAATTGAAAGATACTTGAATGTCTTTCACTCTAAAGAGACATCCATAATATAAAAATGGTTTATATTTTTACAAGGGAATGATGAGAAATAGAGACATGCTTTATTTCAGCGGTGTGGCGATTTTTAGTTCAGCCATGGAGAAAAACCATGTGACTATATTGCTGTCCAAGGAGCTGCTGACAATGTCTAGATATTTCCCATACATAGATTATATAATTTAGAAACATGTTTGTAACTTTTCAGATGAGATTGAAAGTTAAAATAAGGAAATCCTCCATCAGAAGGTAATAAATCATTCTCTTTATCAAATGAACAAACAAAACATGAACTATATTCAGTATAGGGTCACAGAACAGTTTCCTTAAATCTGTCTGGAGATCAATGCTACATTCATTGGTATTCTTCAGAAATCATACTTTGTTATTTGGTTGTAGTAGCATATGATGCTCAAATGTGTTTTAAGTAATTAATTTCTTTTGCATCCCAGTAGGTTTCAGATACATCTATTATCATAATGTTTTTCAGTTCTGTGTTTTTGACTTATATTTTACCTAACTACTGTTGTCCTTTTGTACATATGCTGAGTCGCCAGTAAGCTGTAACAGGTTATTGGGAGTAAAGTAAACTAATACAGAATGAAGTCTAGAAAAGAGTGATAATAATATATTCAGTAATTTATTATTATTTAGAGGTTCTTTACCTAAATTAGATATTTAAGAAATTCCATTGTTCTTGATTTTATGTAGAGATACATCTATGTCAGATATGATTTGTGAAAGTAGATTGAAGTATATTACTAAAGATGATAAATGTTTTTCTTTTTCTACAGGCAAAAAGGCTATGGAAATTAATTTTTAATTCACAAATAATATTTACTTGCCACACTGATAAATCTGTATTCTAATTTTATGTTTTATTTATGCTTTGGAATTCATTTTCAGTGGAATTTTTTTCACATTTGTTTGCAAGTGTCAGATTTCCATTTTTTATTTTATGTGATTTTAATACTTGATATTAGTTTACTATTGTATTAGTAGTGTATTTCTTATTTGAACACTTTTATTTCATTTCAGTGAAACAAAGTGATAACAGGTGGTTTGTTTTATATTGAGGTGTTTTAGTTTTTTTTTTTATTATAATGCCTTTTATTGTAGGCATTTTAAAGTGAGTTTCTTCTAGGAGCTAAAATAGATAATTGAAAGAGTGATTAAACAGTAAGCTAATATTTGTCCCCTAAGAGCCAAAAATATTATGATATAAACTTTTTCAGCTTGCTTTTTGCATTGATGGCTTTGGTTTAGGGTTCCTTTGCTTAGGGAGAGGATATTTGAAGCTATTTTATTTATTTATTTTTCTAGGTATTTGCTGTTTTTCCTGCAGCTCAGTCGAGGGATAACTCAGCTGATCTCTATTTCTTGATTCTTTACTTCCGATTGGCCAACCAAGACTTTTATTTGGCAAACTCTGTCGTACAGAACGTGACATCATCTATGACCCATAACAAGAGCACGTGTTTTCAAGTGTCAGTTAGATTTGTGGATCAATAAAGTTTTCTTGAAAGGTAAGTGTATATTTATTCAAAACGTACATTTAAAAATTCAGTACTATCATCAGCTCTCTTAGTCTGTTTGGGCTTTTGTAACAAAAATCCCATAGACTGGGTGACTTATAAATAACAAAAATTTATTTTTCACTGTTTTGGAGGCTAGGAAGTCTAAGATCAAGGTGCCAGCAAATTTGGTGTCTGGTGAGGACCCACTGGTTCATAGATGGATGTCTTCTTGCTGTGTCTTCACTTGGTGGAAGGAATGAGAGAGCTCTCTAGGGTCTCTGTTTATAAGGGCACTAATCCCATTCATGAGGGCTCCACCCTCATGACCTAATCGCTTCCCAAAGGCCTCGCTCCTAATACCATTACACTTGGAATTAAGATTTCAGCATATGAGTTTTGGGGGGTGATAAACATTCATTTCATAATAATACCCTCATTATAGTTACAGTAATGTGTTTTATATATTTGTGTACAAAAAATATGTGTGGGTGTGTATGTGTGTGTTTATATACTGCTGCCAGGTTTAGATTGCAGGCTCTTTAAGGGAATAATGTTGCCCTCTAGCACAGAGTTCCCTGATCAGTTTCTTTCCACTTATATATCTACCCACCAGCTTCCAATCTATTCCTTTCCTTCATTGTTTTCCTTCTCTTTTAATTGAGCCTGCATGAGGGCTTTAAAAATACTTGCCCATCAGCAGACTTTTAGCACTTTTCTTACTGAATACTTTTTGTTCCATATTTCTTTTCCTTCCCTTTTCGTCTTTCCTTCTTTCCTACCTTCCTACCTCCTTACCTCCCAACATTCATTAAATTTGTTGGAGTTGTGAAATTAGAATGATTGAACTTAGCATTGAAGGTATCTCAGATAGGTAGCATTCACATTTTTTTTTTTTAACCACAACCCATAGTAAGAAATAAATTTTATACTTATGAGCCATTTCCCACAGGTATAAATGCACAAATGAAACAAACAAGAGTTAAAACCATTCTACCCTGGCTACCTTGAATGTATGCTGTGCTCTATTCTATTACATTTTTGGGGGGGTATATTTCATTTAATATATGCTGATACCCATAATTAAATTTACTTCCCTATCCAATAGTGGATCACCTTTGCAATTTCTGAAGTCATACTTTAGATCACTTGTATGTTTGCTCATGACTGACTTGTAGGGAAAATAAATGGAATCAGGTAGTTTGTTTTCTGTTTCAGTCAAGCTGCCTTTTCTTCTGCCTCCCCTGTGCTTCTCATTTCTGTCGATTCATTACAAGTTATCAAATAACTTGGGGAAAGAACTGTGTAACTGCTGGGAAGTACTAGAGCACTTATAGGTTCTTCTGTAGTAACAACACAGATACCAAAGGTCATATCTCAAAATATAAAAGGAAGATAAATCTTTGATAGAATCATTCCTGTATAGTAAGGTATATATTTCTTTATTCTCTTCTTGTTCTTTCTATGTAAATTGTATGTGCATGCTAATGCTCTCAAATCATTCTTGGTTTAAAACATTTTAAACTTCCAAAGCCTTTTATATCAGCTTAGAATAACAGATTTTTCCCCAAAGTGGTCTATTCTAGTGCTCCTTCCCATTTCGTTTAACATTTTTATCCTTTTAATAAGTTGCAAACATTTAAAAATTGTGAATGTAATATATTTTATTAGAAAGTTTGGTATATACAGAAAAGTAAAAAGAAAATAAAAATTATCCCTAATCCAATGCAGCTAAAGCAGTTCTAAGAGGAAAGTTCATTGCCATAAACACCTACGTTAAGAAAGGAAAACTCAAGGTGTCCACTCTCATCACTTTTATTCAACATAGTTTTGGAAGTTCTAGCCTCAGCAGTCAGAGAAGAAAAAGAAATAAAAGGAATCCAAATTAGAAAGGAAGTAAAACTGTCACTGTTTGCGGATGACATGATCGTATACATAGGATATCCTAAAGACGCCACCAGAAAACTGCTAGAGCTCATCAGTGAATTTGGTAAAGTTGCAGGATACAAAATTAACGTACAGAAATCTGTTGCATTCCTATACACTAACAATGAACTATCAGAGAGAGAAATTAAGGAAACAATCCCATTTACCATCTCATCAAAAAGAGTAAAATACCTAGGAACAAACCTAACTAAGGAGGTAAAAGACCTGTACTCAGAAAACTATCAATATGAGATACTAATGAAAGAAATTGACAGCTACACAAACAGATGGAAAGATGTATCATGTTCTTGGATTGGAAGAATTAATATTGTTAAATGACCATACTACCACAGGCGATCTTACAGATTCAGTGCAGTCCCTATCAAAATACCAGTGGCATTTTTCACAGAACTAGAACAAATAATTTTAAAATTGATATGGAAACACCAAAGACCCCAAATAGCCAAAGCAAATTTGAGAAAGAAGCAACGAGCTGGAGGAATCATGCATCCTGACTTTAGACTATACTACAAAGCTTTGATAATTAAAAAAGACTCATACATCAATGGAACAGAATAGAGAGCCCAGAAATAAACCCACGTACTTATGGTCAGTTAATCTACGACAAAGGAGGCACAAATATACTATGGAGAAAAGAGAGTCTCTTCAATAAGCGGTACTGGGAAAACTGGACAGCAACATGTGAAAGAATGAAATTAGAACATTCTCTAATACCACATACAAAAATAAACTCAAAATGGATTAAAGACCTAAATGTAAGACTGGATATTATAAAACTCCTAGAGGAAAACATAGGCAGAACACTCTGACATAAATTGCAGCAATATTTTTTTGGATCCATCTCCTAAAGCAAAGGAAAGAAAAGCAAAAATCAACATACAGGATCTAATTAAGCTTAAAAGTTTTTGCACAGAAAAGGAAGCCATCAACAAAATGAAAAGACAACTTACTGAATGGGAGAAGATATTTGCAAATAACATGATCAATAATGGGTTAATATCCAACATATATACATAGCTCATACAACTCAACATCAAAAAAACAACCTGATTAGATAATGGGCAGATGAACTGAATATACATTTTTCCAAAGAGGAAATGCAGATGGCCAACAGGCACATGAAAAGATGCTCAACATCACTAATAATCAGGGAAATGCAAATCAAAACCACAGTAAGGTATCATTTCACACCTGTCAGAGTGGCTGTCATCAAAAAGAACACAAATAACAAATGTTGGCAAAGATGTGGATGAAAGGGAACCCTTGTACCTGTTGGTGAGAATGTAAATTTGTGCAAACACTGTGGAAAACAGTTCGGAGGTTTCTCAAAAAATTAAAAAAAGGAACTATCACATGGCTCAGCAGTTCCACTCCTGGGTGTGTATTTGAACAAAACAAAAACACTATATCAAAAAGATACATGCACCGAGTGTTCATTGCAACATTATTTACACTTGCCAGGGTATGGAAGCAACTCAAGTGTCCCTCAACATATGAATGTATAAAGAAGATATTTTGTGTGTGTGTACACACACACACACACACACACACACACTGGAATACTACTTAAAAAATGATAAAATTTGCCATTTGCAGCAACATGGATGGACTTGGAGGGCATTATGCTAAGTGAAATAAGTCAGAGAAAAACAAATACTGTTAGGCACTACTTACATGTGGAATCTAAAAAATACAACAAAATTAGTGAATAAAACAAAAAAGAAGCAGACTCACAGATATAAAGAACAAACTAGTGTTTACCAGCTGGGAGAGGGAAGGGAGAAGGGGCAATATAGGGGTGGGGATAAAAAGCATTATTATAGGATTATATGAAATCATGTGTGTTAAACTTTTGAAAATTGTAAAGCACTATAAAAACTGAGGAATCTTTCATTCAATGGAAAAAAGAAAAAACACACACTTAAAAAAAAGGAAAAGAAAGCCTAAGTAAATAACCTAAAATTACATCTCAAGAAATGTAAAAAGAACAAACTAAGCATAAAATTAGTAGAAGAATAGAACAAAACAAAAAGCACAAATAAATGAAGTAGAGATTAAAATAACAGCAGAAAATATCAATGAAACCAAAGCTATTTTTTTGGAAAAACATAAAGTAGACAAAACTTTAGCTAGATATCCAAAGGGCAGGGTGGAAAAAAACTGGCACCACTGAAATACAGAGGTTCATAAGAAACTGCTGTGAAGTTATTCACCAACAAATTGGACAACCTAGAAGAAATGGTTGAATTTCTAGAAATATACAACCTATATCAGTCATGAAGAAAGAGAAAATCTGAATAGTCCAATAGTAAGGAGACAGAATCAGTAATCCAAAACTTCCCAGCAAAGTCCTGTACCAGATGGCTTCACTGGTGAATTCTACCAAACATTTAAAGTAGAATTAATGTCAAACCTTCTCAAACTCTCCCCAAAAATAGAAGAGGAGGGAACACGTCTGTTTTATCAGGCGAGCATTACCCTGATACCAAAACCAGGCATGGACACTACAAGAAAAGAAAATTACACACCAGTATTCCTGATGAACACAGATGCAGAAATCCTCAACAAACTATATTGAACCAAATTCAACAGCACATTAAAAGGATCACACACCATGATCAAGTGGGATTTTTTCCAGGGATACAAGTATGGTTCATTATCTACAAATCAATGTGATACACCACATTGATAAAATAAAGGATAAAAATCATGTGACCATCTCAGTAGATGCAGAAAGAGCATTTGACAAAATTCAACATCATGGTATGAACTTTCAACAAACTGGGTATAGAGGGAATATATTAATAAAGACCACATATGAGAAACCCATAGCTAGCATCATACTTTATGGCGACAAGCCGAAAGCTTTTTCTCTAAGATGAGGAATATGACAAGAATGCCCAAAATTGTTGCCCCGCCCCCAACAAGAACCTGAGTGTTATTTTCTTGGGCTATTTATCAGGGTTGTTTTTTGCAGTGAGTAACCATGAGAAACAAGATGGTGTTTCCCATATTCAAAGAAGCAATCTCACCAATTTTATTTGACATAGTCCTGGAAGTTCCAG